ACTGGGGAAGAGGAGGAATCATAAAACTAGGGCCCACCTGTGCCCTGCAGGGTACCAGGGAGGCAGCCTCCCCAGGCGGGGAACAGACATGCAGGCCCTGCAACACACTCTGCCTGTTGCTCAGCTGGCCACCATCTTTGAGAGCAGCCATATAATAATCCAATATAAGAAAGATATAAAGCTATAAGAGAGCATCCAAAGGAGGGCTACAATGATGGTAAAGGGTCTAGAGGGTAAGCCTTATAAGGAGTGGTTGAGGTCACTTGGTCTGTTTAGCCTGGAGAAGAGGAGGCTGAGGGGAGACCTCCTTGCAGTCTACGACTTCCACATGAGGGGAAGAAGAGGGTCAGGCACTGATCTCTTCTCTGTGGTGACAAGTGATAGGACCAGAGGGAATGGCATGAAGTTGTACCAGGGGAGGCTTAGGCTGGATATTAGGAAACGGTGGTTGGGCACTGGAACAGGCTTCTCAGAGAAGCAGACACAGCACCAAGGCTACCAGAGTTCAAGAAGTGCTTGGACAATGCCCTCAAGCATCTGGTGTGATTCTTGGGGCTGTCCTGTGCAGGACAGGAGTCAGACTTCCAACTCAGGTTATTCTATGATGCTGCGATTCCTACAAGCACTGCAGCTGCAGCATAACAACCATTTCCAAAGGGACTGGGGTAAAAGGGAGGGCAGGGAGAGATCAAAATGTAACTACTGGTAGAGCTGGGCAGCTGAGGCAAGATTGGCTTTGGTGAGCGTAAACCAGGGGAGCAGGGGACTCTCTCCAGACATCACCTACACCAACAATATGGGGCACTGGACACACCCCTGCCCCATCTTCCTGGCTGTACTTTACCATTGCACCTCAAGGTCAGAGAGAAAGGAGAAAAGCAAGAGGCAAACAACAATAGGTCTGAACAGATCTATTTATTCAACTTTTGCTATTGCTTCATGACATGGAAAGATCCAGAAACATGGAGACCTCAGAACAGGCACAGCCACACACAGGAGATGAGAAGCAGCAGCTGGCAGAACCACAGGAGCACCTTCCTCCCACAGCTCCCCTCTGCCTGGGTGCAAGCAGCCCGTGACCAAGCAAGAAGGTCCTTCACGGCCAGAGGAGGAGGGTGCTGAGCAGGTCTCTGAGCCTTAGAGAAGGTCCTGGACTTCCTGAAATGCAAAGAAAAGCCTCCCCCTCTCACTGCCTCAGCTCCCCCATCCCTGCGCATCAGCCACCTTCAGCCACCCGCTGAGGCTTGTCAGGCCCTTCCCCATGTTCAAGCCGGCAGAAAGAAGGAAGGAAGAATGGATAGAATAAGAGACTCCTACCTCCCTTTGCTCCCTCACCCCAGCCTTTTCCCTGCTCTACTCAGACACGAAAAGCCATGGCTCTCCTGCACATCCTACAACAGAAACACAAGGAGCTTTTCCCCGCCTCTCAATCCACCACCCTCCAGGCTCCGGCAGGGACTGCATGGAAATGGCGATACTCCTGTATCGTCTGGATCAACAGCACAGTTAAGCTCAAAGAGGGCAAGAGAGGATGGCACTGGAGGATGAAGCGGGAAGGCTTTGTTTCGTCCTGGCTCCAGTGCAGCCCACCCCCTCTTTCAGTCGCAATGCCCTCTAGCTCGGACATGCAAGGAGGCATTGGAAAGGGAAGGGATCTGGGATGCTTATGAATTTTGTTTCCCCCATCAGGGGGACAGCTCACTCCCCCGAGCATGCCTGGCTCTGACGGAGCTCCCTGGAGTAACCTTTATTCCAGTGTGTCGCAAGCATGTATTTCACGGATGGTTACACTGAATCATTATCACCAGACGTTCATTTGACCAAAATAATGTTATTAGCATCGTCAGGTCCATTTCCCCCCACACAATTCCTCCCTTCCCAGTACACATACACTCCCTCCAACCCCCAGGCCCCTACCATCTACATAGGGCACACCCCTCCTCAGCACAAAATCTCATGATGTGTGACACAATGACCAGGAAAAGAGAACGGCAAGAGGGGCTGGCGAAATGGATGGACGTGCCTTTGGCATTTACCGCGTTCCGTACCCTCTGCCAATTTTTATCAGCCACACGCACACACAAAGCCGTACACGCAAAAAATCGGAATTAAATCACAAGCTATCCAAGGTACATGACCATGGGTGTATGAGTGTGCCCAAGCTGCGGTCACAGTCCTATTGGGAACCCAAATCTGTGTGGCATGAAGCAAAGGTCATCGTGCCACTGTTGTGATGCATTAAAAAAAAAAGCCGCAGAGCCATCAGGATGTAACACAGAATTTTCTCGTCAAGGGATGAGAAACCTTCGGGGGGCTGGGAGGAGGAAAGCGGGTGTGCGGATGGGGGGGATGGGGGGAAATAGCAGAAAATGGGGACGAAAATGAAGAATACAAAGCTCCACTTCGCTAATCCAAGATAGACAATCCATCCCTTCCCCCCTCTCTACACCCTCCCTCCCCCCGAAATGTTGGTGCAGATGGATTTCTGTATCTTGGTTTTGCAGCAGTGGGTCTAATGACTCCCATACCAAACCCCCTCGCTATGATAACCCCTCCCACTATTTTTTTTTTTTTTTAGACCGGGCTGAAGAATAATGTGTTTTTAGAGATAATGGGTTTTATAAAAAGAAAAGAAAAAGGGACGCAGCGCAGACATTATGCGAATAAGCTGTTCCCCGCATCACCCCCATCTTCTCCCAACCACACATTCCGATTTCATCCCCTCCTGTCATTCTCCAGCTTTCCCCATCAGCTCCCCCAAGGAAAGGAAAAAATCGCACAACGCGATCTGGGTAGCCGATCTCAAAATCCCAAGCACTAATCTGCTTGAATTTGTTCCCCCGCTTATATAAGCAGCAGCACGTCAACATGTTCAGTGGAAACGCAGCGTAAAATGAGGCCAGGCTACAGCCATGGAACAGAGGTGATATCGGCAGATATCGCTTCTATCGAGAAGCCATCACCACCAGGTTGGTGAAATCAAGTATTGGGCTTCCAGCCGTTCCCTTACTTTATTTATTTATTTTTCAACGCTTAGTCTAATTTTACTTTGTTTCATTTTGGTTTCGCTCTACTTCATTTTTTAAAGGACAAAAGTGAAATAAATAATTAAAAGCCTAGAGACATACCCCACCAGAAGGTGCCCGAATGCTCCAGAAAGAGAATCCTCACCTCCTAACTCTGGGTTTGTTGTTTGGGTTTTTTTAATAAATAAATACAGTCCTGTTGCTCACATTATCCCCAAACTTCCAGTGTCTCTAGCTGCACCTCCCTACTCCCAAAAATGAGATACTTAGTTAGAGAGTCATGAACATTTAAAAAAGTGTCAAATACCAAAAAGAAACCAATAGAGAAATGGAAAATTATGTCTATACAATAATCTAGTTCATTCAGCTGATAAAGTGCGTTCAGTCGCAAAACCGTGAGCAATAATCTCTGCAACCTCCTCCCCCCCTAAAATACTACCAACCCTTAGATAAACTTGCCCAACTTAACACTGATGACCATTTTAACTGAAATCAGTGACAGACGTAACACCCTTCTGGTTAACGTTACAATTAATAACTGACTGTATAATCACAGCAAACAGAATCTTTTGTGATCAAATTTTCTCCCACCTCCTCAACATCTCTCTTAGACTTTTCACCAATTTAGTTAAGAGTTCGTCCCCTCAAAAAATAGCCCCTCAAAATATGCAATAAGCAGGTATTGGTGAGCGGTCATTTCAATATTCGCCTTTTTAGGAGGGCTGTGTGCTTATCTCAGAACAATTGCGGGCAGTAAAAAATACAGGAAGGACAAATAATATTTAGTAAAAACAAAAATATTTTGTTAAAACTATTTGCAACAAAGCGTTGAGCAGTTTGACCAGAAAAAGGTGGAAAAAGAGCTGGAAAAAACAGAAAGCTGCAAGTATCCTTTTACAAACGATTCAATGTTTCTATCCCCAGTTCTGCCTCCCCAGTTCTTTGGTTTTTCTGCCGCTGATCTCATGCCTAATAATTTTTATTGTTTTCTTTTGGGGTGGGGGAAAGAAATCAGGAAAAAAATTGAAACAGAAAGTGCTCAATTTCAGCAAAATGCATTCTTAAAGAGCACTGTTAAATATGTTACTTTCTAGCTACATAAGATTGCCATTAAAATAAATTTAAGAGTAAGCAAAAGACAAGTCACCTGCAAAGCACCAGAGTCGCTGCCCTTAGGTAGGAGAATTACATCACTCCCTGACTGAATGATGTTTTCTTTTAAATTATAAAGCCGGTGGATTTTATTTATTTTTTTACGAAAAAAAAAAATTAGAAAAAAAGCCCAACACAGCGGTTATTTCACATACATTTTGCACGAAGAAAGCATTGAACCAACCTTTAAGGTCACTGACTGCCTGAAAACCCACAGCAGTCACTCACGGTGGAAGTTTTCAGGCAAGACGGCTACTAAATCATTAATACAAACAAATGGAAGGCGGGGAGGAAAGGCACTACCGTAATAGATCCGAAGACTTGGAAGAGGAAAAAAATATTAAAGAAAAAAACTTTCATCTTCAGCCTGTCTTCTTTCCTCGTTAGAATTTTTTTTTTTTTAACAAATCCTTAAGCTTTAGTCAAACAGCAGGCTCACTCTAAGGGTCTCCCTGCTGTAGCTCAGCGTAGTGTCTTCTTTTTCGAGAAAACCCCCCGCCCAGTGTTCCACTCCAAAAAGCCCCGTCGTGGGAACTGCAATTTCCCAAAAAGTCGGGCCAAAGGAGCTGGAGCGTCCCGGGGGCTCGACGCGTGCCCACTCCGCCGGGCGGGCAGCGCCCAGCGCCGCCGGGGCAGCCGGAGCAGGGAGCGAGGGAAAACGATCCCGAATAGTTGCCGTGAGGAGGGTCAGAGAAACCCACCCGCGGAGCTCCGGAGCGGCGGCGCCCAGCGCTCGCCGGGCGGGCAGCTCCCTCCGAGCCGTGCCAAGCCGAGCCGTGCCAAGCCGAGCCGAGCCGCCCCCCGCCCGCCGCCCCCTCTCACCTCCGCAGCCGGGCGGGCGCCGGCCGCCGCGCCAACTCGCGGCTCGCCTGCGCTGCGGGGCAGGGGGCTCCAGCGTGGCCCCAGCCGCGGAGGCTGCGGGGGTCCCAGCGAGGCTGGGCTGGGCTGGCCGTGCCGAGCCGAGCCGTGAGAGCCGCGGGCGGAGCTGCGCAGGGCTGAGCGCGCCGCGGTGCCGGAGCAGCCCGAGCCCCGCACACGCCGCCGCCACCGCCCCCTGCGCCGCGCCCGCCCGCCCGGCCACGGCTTTTAAAGAGACCGCGGGTCCGTGCCCCGGCAGCCGGCACGGTCCGCACGGCCCCGGCAGCGGGCACGGCCCCGGGCTCGAACAGCAGCGCTCCGCCGAGCTTCACCTCCCACGCTCCCGCCGCCTCCGCCCAGCAAAGAAGTCGGCGGCTTTTCTGCTGTCTTCGGCCCGCCAGCGTCCCGTTCCCCGAGCGCTCCCTCACCGGGGCGGCACGGCAAGGGGGGATTTGTGCCCCTCTGGTCCCAGCAAGGCGAAGGAGGGAAGATGCAGCTTTTTTTTAACTTCTTAAGTTTGCCACCAGGGACCTGCCATCAGAGCAGGAGGAGGTAACGTCTTCCTCAGGCGATGTGTCTCCCAAAAAACCCTTTAAGTTCACAAAGATTTTTCCCTTCTAGCGCTGAGTCTGACCCAAACCTGCTGGGTATTTCAAGTCAGTTTACACACTGCCCATTTCATTTAAGCTAGCCACTAAGTTTCTTGTTACCTTGCACAAATCTCTCAAACTTTTTATCCATTCATTTGCCCACTTGTAAAAGTAGAGCCAACGGCACTGACAGTCACCATCAGCTGTGTTTGGGTCAGTATTTCATTCAGACTGGACATCCTAGAAATTGTTATTTATGGTTGTATCACCACTAGCACTTAGCACAGTAAACATACTGTGGGAACACACATGTGAAGTTTTTTAATAGGTTATCATGCTGAAAGTCCACCTCAGAGAAGACTAGTGGGCACGAACATTACGCACATAAAGTTCACACAAAACTAAAAGTGAGAAATCAAACCTTCTGGCCCCTCTCTCTAGACCCTATGATCTTGTAAAATTTGTGTACACTGTTCATACTACAACACCAGACACTTAGAAATGCATTTGCCTTGGGGACAGACTGGAAAGTTATTTGTCTTTCCTTATACTTCTGATCATGCATCCAAAGGTTTTTGTCTTTTTCTACATTTTGCATAGCAGCCAGCCTATCCACAGTACTCGATAAATAATAAATAATTATTATTTTATACAGTATGTATTGATCCCCTTGCTGACTATCGAAATGCAGCTGTGTCTGAGGTGGATAATAGCTACACAGAAACACTAAATAATAGTTACAAGTAGTGTTAGGAGCCCCCTGGGAAGTTTCTATGGAAAACACAGTCCTTCACACGCCCTAACTAATTCAGATACATGCACAGAGAGGATAATGGAGACCTATTTCAACAGGGTGACAACTGGACAGAAAAGAGGCATCTTCCTGACTCAAAATCAGCATCCCAAGAGCAAGATTTTATCCCTTCAGATGTTTGTGCAAAGGCAGGTTATTGTTAAGCTTCCTGTTTTATATGGACAACATAGCAGCAGTAAGAACTACCTTTCCCTCCTCAGGGCATGGGATCAGATCCTGGTCTCAATTACTGTGAGGAAAATCAGGTATTACTTCATTTACTGCAATAGTTAAATCCAGATTTAAAAAGTGCAGCTGGCAATAAAATCTGTCTTCTAGTACCTTTCTTCCCTTACTGATAGTTCTGGCAATCTAGCATTTTGTAGCTTGCAGTTTATCAAAATAACGATGTGATGAGGCAGTCATCTGAAACTGCACCCTCTCTGGCCCTGCCCTCTCCTAGGTCTTCTAAGACCATGCATGCACATACTTGCATCATATTTTGATCTGTCTGCCTATCAACAGAGTATCTTCTGTGTAAAATCAATGTTAAGAGCACAGTCTCCACTTCCAGTTCCAAACTAAACCTCTTCAGTTTAACAGACAGAAAACTGCATGTCCCCTGAAAGAAAACACAAACTAGCAGCTTTTAGCCATCTTAATCACCAAGGGTAAAGTGAGCCCAACAAGATTTGAGGAAAATGAGCTGGTTTTCATCCACACACTATCCTTTCGACTGGAAAAAGAAAACCTAGGACCCCCATATATGAAATGCCTACAAATGAGAAAGAGGGTAGAAGACTTCATCCAACTGAGAAGCTTCTATTCAGAGTGCTATATATGAACATATATATATGAAGATAACAACTACTTTGAAAAAATCTTACTGTGCCTAACTCAGACACATAGATTGCTACTTCTGAAAAAACTGTTACCTTTAGGCACCAAAATAGCAGACATCATTTTATAAATAGACAGAGAGTAGTGAGAAAATATTAGAAGAGCAGTGAAGTTTCCTTAAGGTTGCAAGGCACATCTTTGCTGGGGTGCAGAGCAAAACAGAGACAAAAGGAAAGCAGTGCAGTACAAGAAGTTATCTGCTGAGCAAGCAATGCTCTAATTGCTCAATAGGGGAGTAGATTTTTCTGACTAATTCCTCTAATTCTTCACACCTCTAGCTTTGGCCATGCACTTTGCAAATAAGATGTATGGAGAGGAAGGAAAAATATGATTACCACAGTGAGGTTTGTATCAGCCCCCTCTAATACTGCTCCTCTCACCAGTATTTGCCACTAGAATCCTGACTTTTCAAAATGTATGCTCTAGATAAAGTGTTTTGTCCCCATCTATAAGATAAGTAGATACATCAAACTTCTTTGGTGTCTTCATTAAGAAAATACCTGCTCCCTTTCTAAGGGGTCTTAAAAATTAGCAGCAGCAGATTTATACACCTGGGCACCTGGCCATTCCCTCCCAACACCACAAACAAAAGAGGCAAAGGAAAAAATACAAGAGTTATAGAAACGTTATTCATCTTCTTTTGCTTGTTCCCTTTAGAATAAATTTGCAAAACTTTTTACCAAGCCAACGTGCTTGTTATAACTAAAGAGGCAAAGTGCTGTCAATAAACTGGGGCAATTCAGTCCGTGCACTTTTCAATAAATTGCTACATGGGCCTGCTGGTATTCAAGGTACTTAATCGGCTCTGAGATCTGGGCTTGTTAATTCAGGGCAGCAGCTGTAGTAGCTACAAGACATAGCTTTTGTTTACATCTTGCTAGAAGAATGAGCTGGCTCACAGAAGCTACCTATTTCCCTGATACAGTAGAAACCGCATGTACCATTATCATAAGTTCCTGGTGTGCCCTCCATCCCTTTCTGTTAAGCAGGGGTGATGAGAGAGGGAAATCAGAGCCTGGAAAAGACTCTGGAGACAGAATAGGCAGGAGTCAGAGGTATTATCCATCATGCCAGGATGCCCAAATGCTGCAAGACAAGATCTAGAAGATTCAATGAAAACTAATGCCTTGAGTATGGTGGTAGGAGATAGGAAGAGAGGCTGCACTGCAATACTGTCTCATTGAGTATAATATCCTGGTCTTTTTCCTTAGGTTCTCTGAAGGGCATTCACCAAATCTTTGAAATTAAGCATTTGTATGGTACTGTTTAATGGAAATGAGACTCAAGGGGAATTTGCATTGAAACAGTGATAGGGAAGTCTTTGCAACATGACAAGAATGCAACTTATATCTCTGGTTATTTTTTATATATATATAATGTTAGCATTTTCAGTGTCTTTTTGCCCAGAAGTTAATACCCAAGGTGAATTTAGAAGCTGCAGTCCAAACTATGATCAGATCTTCTTGGTTGTGCCAAATGAAGTTGATCTTATCTCACTGGTGACCTTATCCTACTTGAGAGAGCAAAACTCATCACAGTAATAAGAAATAACAGAGACAGGGGGAAAGCAATCATGACAGCACCCAGTCAGAACTCCCTTTACCATCATTTCAGAGAATTAATTCTAAGCTCTTCTCCTGCAAACATCATTTTTCACTCCAGCCAGAGGTTCAACCTCCAAAGTTATTCTGACCACTTGCAGGACATACCCATTTATTCTTGATTCACAGGCTTTTTCTTCCTCCTAGTGTGTTCTGTTGCATTTATTTAATAGAAACTGTACACAGTGTATACAGGAAGCAATTTTCTGAGCACACTTTGTTTAACCAAGTGTAGGGGGAACAGAAACTAAACAGACACACCTTTGAGTGTGTGGAAGTGTATGAATGAACATATCGCCAAAAAAACTGGACATGTACACAGGAGTGTCTATGAAAGGATTCCTTGTAGGAAGACTGTGTAAGAGAGCTTAAGTACGAGTGGTGTGCGTGCAAATGCTGCAGGAGCACATTCAGAGCAAGGCATGTAGGGAAAAGAAGCATGTTTCATTGCATCAACTAACATATTTGGGGGAAAAAATTATGCAATCTCTTCTCCCAAGTCTCAAACACTCTTTTCCACCATCTTTAAGAGCATCATTGTGAGAGGATGCATGGTACGTGTGTATATATACTTAGGAATATGTAACCATAACAACAACAGATTAGGCAGATGTGTGTGCACACTTGATTGTGCAAGGGAAGAAAAAATAGAAGCTGTACATTCTTTCAGCCAGCAATATAAAATTTAATGGTTGTCATACTGGCTTTATGACCTCCACCACCAGATAATAGACACCACCTCATTTTAAGACAGAAAGACATCCATCGCTATCTCCTGTTGTCAGCAAGTTCACTGTGACCCTGACTCAGTGCTGGCCCAAAAGGAAGAGAACCGATTCCTCAAGCAGCAAGTAGCATCCAGTGAAATGGCCATAATCAAAGCCACAGTTCAGAGTTAAAACACAACCTTCCAACAAGTATTTTCACCAGTTCTGAACTCCATCCTTTCTTGTTTCTTGAGTGTTATAACTCCATGGGGTCACTCCAGTTTCCAAGATGTCATCAGCCTACCATCACCATCCCCCAGAGTAACACTTACTAACTCCTCCACTTGAACTCTGCCTCCTCTCCTTGTTTCTGAATTCTCAGATGGAGCCACCAATGACATCACAGTGTGCTTCCCTGGCAACAAATATGTCATACCTGCTTGTCCATCAACAGTGTTGGGTAAGAATAGGAATTGATGAGTACTAAAAGAGGAAGAGCATGGAAAGACCTGCAATCAGAAA